CTTGATTGCATAAATGAAGGAAGAGTGATAAAACACAGCATAGCAGAAAATCTTTAATTCAACAAAAATCACACAATAAAACCGTAACCATACAATAGATGTAAGAATAAAACACTTGTATTTACATTAAAAACAACAACATCGAATCAACATACATTTTCCATTTCATTTTACATCGGAATGCGGAAGTTCCCTTTAATTCAAAACTGTAACTGCACTCGAGACAAAGAAGTAGTAATAGGTAGTAATGCAGTTGGAACACTTATATTTGGAATGATAACTGTCTACTACGAAGAAACGCGCACAAAAAAATATAATTATTACATATAACTTCCGCTTGGGTTTTGTCTGAGGGGTTAAGTTCAAAGTATATAATGGTATGATTTTATAACACGATGTATTAGTAAAATATATGTGTATGTGTGTAAGGGGGTGTATGGAAAGGAATACGAAAAAGGGATGGAAAAAGCACTTTAAAACAGAAATGAAACATACAATATATAAAAACGCAAAAAAGTGTAAAAGTGTATAAAATAGTACATAAGTAAAACGCTTAATCTTTTAAGCAAAACTGCATTTTTTTCAACTACACATAGCGATAATGGCAAAATCTAAAATCCAAATAATCGAAATATTCAGCATTTGTACAATAAAACTTACAACAGTCCCCCGTAACTACTAATGTTTTAATAGAAAATGGGTATATGTGATTATCATAGAAAATGGATATATGTGATACATAACTCTTGTATTTTGCGAAGGAAAGGATTAAATATAATAATATATATGTCAACGGCTAGACTTATAATAGTAGTATTTTAAAGGTAATCCTGACCCAAGGAGACCATTATACACCATGGAAATGGTTTTCCACTGGTTGTAAGGTAGATAGAATGGTAGTTCAAGGGAGCTCCACATTCCATTGAAGCTACAAAGTGTGGTGTTGATCCCGTGAAGGGGATAGGCCTTAATGTTTTACAAGGCACTATAGACACTGTGTCTCGGGGACATAGAGGTGATAATCTACAGGTCTTATAAACAAAGGCACCACTGTGGTCAGCGCTGGGTCAGCAGGGTCAGGAGAGGCCGGGCCGCCTGTGTGGCACTCGTGCCCCAGTTCAGTTAAAACTTCGATCGCGCGTAGACGTCGTGACAAGTTTTTCTTAGAATATTAAATAGGCCAATAAAGTTTTCTTGCAGGGGCAAGTGTTAAAGTGTTTAAAATTAAAAATATTTCACTAACATAATACTTACCTAGCCCCTATTGAGGGGTTGCTATACTACTTTTTATCACTCTTTTGCTCCCGTGAGCAGATATGACAAGAAGTGAAATATATTCCAAATATATTTGTGTATAGGTCACTGGATAATAGGTTTATATGCCACTCTCTCCAGAGCGGGCTCAGTGTTATTGATATAGTACTTCCTAGTTTTACGTATGACAATTATATTTCATTATAATTCCAAATGGTTATAATAAACATAAAATAAATTTACACTTTTAATGTAATTACTTATGTATACAGTGTTGTATATACTCGTCTCCTGACGAGCGTGTGATTCCCCTTGGAACACAGAAGTACAGCAGACCCTTGTCTATGTTACTCCTGGTCACACGGAATTCAATTATAACCCAAATCGGTAAATTCTCCTTTGAATCTACTATCACGACGTCTACGCGCGATCGAAGTTTTAACTGAACTGGGGCACGAGTGCCACACAGGCGCCCTGGCCTCTCCTGACCCTGCTGACCCAGCGCTGAGCATAGTTGTAAAGGAATCAAGGATTCCTTGTCTGATATTATATATATAGAATTTAGATCAAGAATTTATTTGATTTAATGTATTAACGAGAGAATAATTATTTAATTTCATTTAGTTTGTAACGTTGGCTACAGTGACGTTAGAGTTGTACGAACGCCCTACAAAAACGCATTGTTGTGAATCCGCGGAGCCACGCTAGAGAGCCACGTGAGACATCTTGTGCTGCGTACTTTTAAATTATTTTTGTTTTATGAAGATTTGGGCTAGCCACACTGTAAGTCAACTATTTATACTGTTAATAATGTATGGTTCAGATGTTAGAGCATATGTTAATAACAAAGTTGTGTCTTTTACGTGATATATAACTTGAAATTATGTGATATAAGTAAGTGCCATTCCTATTGTACTCTTATATTTTTACCAAGCTTTATTTCAGTTCAGTATCTAGTCTTTAGTTATTGATCTTTTATAAAGTGCCTTAATTAACTCAGGAAATGTCATAAAATAGTATAAGGAATAAGAAGTCATTTGTTTGTTTAATGTTTACATATATGCTAGTCTTGCAGTATTTTTATAATTTTCTATTGATTTGTTCTTAATATTTCTATCTCATATTGTATTAATATTATTTGATATTTGTATGATTCATTTACTTTATTTGTGTACAACTTTTTATTTCCAAAACTGTGAAGATTTATTTTCTTACAGCTTTTCACCTCACAATTACGTGCACGCTCACGCGTACGTGTATGTTGTCATCTTGCAAGTTGGATACACTGCTCATACCTACCAGCTTGTGAACATGACAATAAAGGTTTAACTGACTGCTAGTGTTTTACTGGAGGCAGTACAACAGTGGCGCCCTTGTTTACAAGACCTGTAGATTACCAACTCTATGTCCCCGAGATACAGTGTCTATAGTACCTTGTAAAACATTAAAGGCCTATCCCCTTCATGGGGTCTGTCATACATTCCGAATGTTGTAGATCAACCTGAGACTCCTGAGACTATGTCTAGACCGGAAGACTCTCAGATAAAAAAGACAGGTACAAGATCAGAATGGGGCACATTTCCAAGATCCTCAACCTGGTAATTCAAATAATCAAGGTTAAGGGAACTAGACTCTCTGAGTCTAGCCGTCGCTGTGATCGGACGTGTTTAACCTCCTCTCCGCATCAGCCATACAACTCAGCAAAACCATGGCATCCCATGGTCCCGCAGAGTCAGAGGGAAATCTGGCTACCTCCCCCGGGTCAAAGGGGGCCAACCGGGAGGCTACCCCGGTGCTTCTACGAGCTCCTATCCCCGGAGTGAAGGGGTTCCCTTAGCCCAGGGTAATGAGCTCCCTTCCCAGGGTTATGGGACCTCCGCCCAAGGCCATGGGCCCCCCGGTAGCGAGGGTCAAAGCTGCCCCCCCCCCCAGGGTGATGGGCTCTCCCACAGCAGCCTGGGGAATGGCTGCTCCCCCACCCAAGGCAATGGGTGTATCAGTGAAGACAGTGCTAGCAGTGAAAATATTGAAAGCAAAACTGAACAATCAATCTATCAAATCGGCAATGTATTAATAGTGCTTTGTTGCCACGAAAAAAGCGTGGGCTAGATTGCTTCTCTGTGATCAGATTAAGAAACTATTTGGTATGGAAGAGATTGAAAAAGGCCCATGATATCGTAATCAACCTCTCAGACTCTAGGAAACCTAGAAACACAACTCGAGACACGAGGAAAATGATTAACATTATTGTGCACGTGGGAAAATCTGGTGTTCGCAACAACTGACATCCCAACCACGGACTGGACGCCGCCGAAAAAGACAGGTATTTCTACTCCTTTTATTAAGTTCTTCCATTTGCTAATGGGAATGTTCTCCGAACAACAGGCGACGCTCAACAAAATGAAAAATCAGAAGGAATGCGCAGAGGCAGCAGACGTCACGACAGACCCGCTCCCCCCTTCCAAATCCCGTCCGACCTCCCTTCTCCTGTCTTTGACCAATCCACCTACCAATCTTTCCCATTTGCTTCTCCTCCCCCTATCAGAACGCCCTCTACCTCTACCCAAGAACCCCCTCCACACCCTCCTGCCTGATGAACCCATGGCTAGCGACCCCCCCCCCAGCTCCCTTCCCTCCGCTATCCCCAATCCCCGCCCGCAGTGAGCGAGCAGGCGTGCGCCCATGCTGACTCGCCAGCCTCCCGAGTACAAGACACCTTAGCAGTTCGAACACCCCGCAAATCAAGAGGAAAACGAGGCATGTACACAAGTAACGCCTAGGCGAAGCTTTAAGAAAAGACAACATAAAAAGAAAAACAATCGGAAGGAACTCGACCCCAATCGCCAGTGGGATGACGCAACTCATCACCAGGTGCCAGGAGTCCCCCCCCCACTGCCCCCCCCCTACTCCAGCCCCAGCTCCAGCAGTGCCGACGGTCGTGATAAACAACCACGGAGAAAGAGCGGAGCAAGTTGCTGAGGACGAAGGTTTCGTTACAGTAACATCAAGGAAACAAAAGAAAAAACAAGAGAAGAACGACAAGCGGCAAAACCCTTAGCAGGAGCTGATCGACCTGACACTGTTCCTGTACATCACAAGCTGCCATCCAGACACAAATGAAGAAGACATCGAAGATCATCTATGGGACAATTTTGAAAACATATCAAGTGTAAAAGCAAACAAAACCGTGATGACACATAATTACTACACTAGTTTCACGGTAACAGTACGAGGCCGAGAAATAACGCCTGAACTATTTTTAGACTCGGATGCCTTCCCAAGGAATGTCAAAGTGTTCCTCAACAGAAACAAGTACAATCGTGATCAGACGGTTTAATAAGGCAATGCCCTCAGCAAGTCCGACTGTCAAAACAGACCACATTAACGCTCAGTCTCTCCTTGGGCATTTTGATGACATAGGAATGCTTATAATGGAGAGCGATCTCGACATATTATGTATTAGCGAAACTTGACTTCACCAAGATATGTCAAATGCATTTATTAATTTTCCAAACTTCAATGTTTATAGATGCGATGCAGGACGTGGGGGAGGAGTTTGCTTATATGTACGTGACACTTTTAAAACAAACGAGATATCCACTACAATTGCTAAGAGTGCAGATGTAGAGGATATCTGGGTTAATGTACAATGTAATATGCTTCCGTCTTTCACTGTAGGCGCGATCTATAGGCATCCTCATGGTTCCTCTGAATCCATTGATTAATTAGAAAAAGGTTTTAGAGAAATGTCATTGAAAAAGAAACCTCTTTCCATACTTGGCGATCTAAACGATGATTTAAACAAGCCAAATTCTAAATTAAGTAAGGTAATTAATAAAAACAAATTTGAACTGGTAAATAAACCTGCAAGAATCACAGAAAATAATTCGTCATTAATTGATGTAATAATAACAAACAGAGCTGACATTGTCCTCCACACGGACGTCATTCCATGCCATGTTGCCGACCACGAACTCATAACGGTGACATATTACTTTGTACGGTTACCCAGATGTCCTCTACTGCTGTATCATTTACAGCTGTAAAGATCTTATTTGATTTAAGGGTATCTCTTACATATATGCAGACTCCACCTCCACGTCCTGCATCACATCTGTAAATATGAAAGTTTGGAATGCTGATGAAAGTGCTTGAAATTTCTTGGTGAAGCCGTTTCACTTTTGCACAGGATATCGATATTTCTCTCCTTAATTAATAATTCAATTTCTTCAAAGTGTCCGAGGAGAGACTGTGCATTGATGTGCTCAATTCTGATTGTGCTTGGTGTTTTGACCGCCGGACTTTCAGCGTCAAACATCCTGCTCGTCTTTGTACTTGTTTCTATTTAGGAACACCTTTACATTATCAGGAAAGACGTCGGACTCTAAGAAAAGATCTGGGTTAATATCCTTGCCTCTTATAGTAACTGTGAAGCTCGAGTAATAATTGTGTGTCATTTTCGTTTTGAATGCTTTCACAATTATGGTTCTCAGTCATTATGCCAAATCATAATAGCCCAAGAATCAACTCTCTTACAAATTTTGCAAGCAGATAACGTAGACAAACAGGTAAATGTGTTCACGGAAGTGATTAATGATAGTATAAATGCCATTGCCCCCTTTGTTACAAAAATCATTAAACGTCCTCCGCCCCCCTGGATAAACGACTATCAAGAGAGCCATAACAGATAGAAATAATATGCATAACGCTCTCAAAAATAAGAGATTCGATACGACACTCCAGTCTGACTATAAACAAAGGAAGAGAAATGTCAAATCACTAATACAAGAAGCCAAAACTGATTATTTTAGAAATAGATTAACGAATTGTAAAAAAAGATTCAGCTAAAACATGGAAGATTATAAAGACACTTGTACCAAACAAAAACAACCATAAAGATAATCTAAACACCAAAATTAGTGCAAATGAATTTAATGAGTTCTTCGCTAAAATTGGACATTCCGCATATGAACAAACAAACGCTTCCATATCTAAACAAAATACAGTTAGGATAAGGCCTCAGCCAATAGTTTCAAACCACAACCTGTTCAAATAGAAACCGTAATCCTGACAAAGTCTGTGGGAGTGGATGGCATTGCTCTTCGCTTTCTCAGAGACAGCCTACCTGCTGTGGCGTATTATTTAACGGTTATCATTAATACATCTTTGGTCACCGGTGACTTCCCATCGCTCTGGAAGCATGGCATAATAACACCAGTTCTCAAATCTGGCGACAAAGACGAAGTTAATAATTATCGCCCTATTACCATACTTCCTATGCTGTCGAAGGTTCTCGAAGAAATCGTAGCAGACCAATTGACAATATTTCTAGACACATGACCTACTATCTAGAACACAGCATGGCTTCAGAAGTAAGCTGTCTACTGAAACAGCATTATTGCAAATTACAAATAAAATTTGAGAATATAGACAACCGTATAAACTTACATTGTGTGATTTATCAAAGGCCTTTGATAGTGTCAATCACGAAATCGTCATCAGTAAACTAATGAATCACAAAATTGACACATATTGGTTCAGAAGTTATCTAAGTAATAGAACCCAATCAGTCAAAATCATCGAGAATATATCAGAAAAACAGAGTGTATCCTTTGGTGTCCCACAAGGATCTATATTAGGCCCAATCCTGTTCATAATATTTGTAAATGATCTGTCAACCACAGCCCAAAATTGCCTTCTTGTTCAATACGCCGATGATTCACAATTTCTACATAGTGATTCTGTAAACAATTTAGATACACTGATACTAAAGACCCAGGAGACACTTTCACAAGTAAAAGGATACTTTGACTCAAATGGCCTTAAGATAAATCCAGATAAGACACAATGTATCTTCATAGGTAGTCGCCAGAACATCGCCAAAATTCCTGTAAACATGACCATAATATTTGAAGACAGCTACATAAGACCGAGCACTTTTGTAAAAAACCTAGGCGTACTCATTGACAGATTCATGGCATTCGAAAACCACGTCGATAACATCCATAGGAAAGTAATAGGAAAGTCCTATCAAAAATAGAATCCCTGCTGAAACTAGAATATCTGTTATACAAACACTAGTTCTCAGTATAATTAACTATTGCTCAAATATATGGGGTACAGCAAACAAAGGTCAAATTCAGAAAATTCAAAAATTGCAAAACTTTGCTGCCAGGGTAGCACTTGGGAACGTAAAGAAGTATGACCACATTACCCCACACATAAACAAAGTTGGCTAAAAGTACCCACAAATGCAACTATGATACTTGCATACTAATTCACAAAATGATCCACGGTTTTTATCCAAAATTGTTGTTAACCCTTCCAACTGTAGGTAATATAACCTGTGTCCAAACAAGACAAGGTAACTCCCTATATGTTAAAAGATCACGTACAGACATAGGGGCACGGCAGATATTAACACGTGGACCCATGGTATGGAACCAACTGCCTTTTGATATCAGAAACATTCAAAACTCAAATACACTCAAAAGGAAATTAAAGGAACATCTATTAAATCACCAATGACATCAGGTTTCTAAATATAAGAATAGACAAGATTTATATGTACCACCATTGATTTTGTGTTTAACGTATTTATTTGTACTGTAACATCACTATGTATATAATAAGAATAACCATTGTAACAAATGGAATAAAGTATTTTGAATTTGAATTTGAATCCTTAGAGAACAACCCGAGGAAAGTTACCTAAGTACATGGTGGACCAATATATTCTTGGTAGACAAATAATTTCTTTATATTATTGTACCCCATTATGTTCTCTTTTTAAGGTCAGTATTGTATTTCCTTTAAGGGGGAAGGAAGTGTTATGTATACGAATTAAGTATACAGTTCCTATTTAGTTTTATACATTGTATTAATACCCACTCCGACCCCGCAAACCCGTGACCCTGCTGACGCGCCAGCCCCCCCCCCCCTCGTCCGGTGCCACGCAAGCGATCACCCAACAACGCTGAGACATCAACAACCGGCATGAGGAACGAAGCTTCTACACAAGTAACACCCAGAAGAAGCTACGGTAGAAACAGTAGAAGGAAAAACAAGCAAAGACATCTTCCACCAAATCGCCACTGGGAGGATGCCACGCACCACCACGTGCCTGGAGTACCTGCCCCCTCTACTACTCCACAAGCACCACAACTCGTCGTCAACAACTACGCAGAACGATCGGAAACACAACAACAAACAAACGTGCAGCCGCAGCCCATTAAGACGAGGAAGGGTTCGTTCAAGTCAACAATAGAAAACAAAGAAGAAAAGCAAGAGAGGAACGCCGCTCGTCAAAACCCCTGCAAGGTGCCGACCGTCCTCAGGTAGTGTACTTGTATATCACGAGTTGCCATCCGGACACAAACGAGGAAGATATTGAGGACTTCCTTGAAAATAAATTCGACATTATTTCCAATGTGAAAGCATTCAAAACGAAAATGACACACAATTATTACTCAAGCTTCACAGTTACTATAAGAGGCAAGGATATTAACCCAGATCTTTTCTTAGAGTCCGACGTCTTTCCTGATAATGTAAAGGTGTTCCTAAATAGAAACAAGTACAAAGACGAGCAGGATGCTTGACGCTGTAAGTCCGGCGGTCAAAACACTAAGCACAATCAGAATTGAGCACATCAATGCACAGTCTCTCCTCGGACACTTTGAAGAAATTGAATTATTAATTAAGGAGAGAAATATCGATATCCTGTGCATTAGTGAAACTTGGCTTCACCAAGAAATTTCAAGCAGTTTCATCAGCATTCCAAACTTTCATATTTACAGATGTGATGCAGGACGTGGAGGTGGAGTCTGCATATATGTAAGAGATACCCTTAAATCAAATAAGATCTCTACAGCTGTAAATGATACAGCAGTAGAGGACATCTGGGTAACCGTACAAAGTAATATGCATCCTTCCATCCTCGTCAGCACAATCTATAGACACCCACATGCTACAGCAGAATCTTTTGAGTATCTTGAAAATATTTTCAGAGAAATGTCATTAAAAAGAAAACCCCTATTCATCCTAGGTGACTTAAATGACGATCTAAACAAATCAAATGCAAAGCTAACTGGGACAATTAATAAAAATAAATTAAAACAACTTGTAAACAAGCCTACAAGGATTACAGTAACTATTTCTTCTATATTAGATGTCATAATAACAAACAGTCCCGATATTATTCTTCACACAGATTTATCACATGCCCAATTGTGATCTTAAATATAGAAAAACCAAAGCGACAACCAGTCACCAAAACTTCTCGTGATCTAACCCATTACGATCCTAAATTACTCTGCGAACATATAGCAATGCCATCAGCTCCTACGGAATTTGTTTTTCTTAAGTGTTTTGCTGTTAATATAATTGTTTCTACTCCTACTGGTTGCGGTCTGAAAAAGTTTTGTTTTAGGCCTTGTTTCATTTATGTTGCGTAGATGTGTGGAGGCGGTTTTAGCAACAGATAATGTTGACAGACAAATTGCCACTTTAACAGAAGTGATAAAGAATAGCATAAACGCCTCCGCACCCATTAAAACTAAAGCAGTAAAACGTCCTCCCGCCCCCTGGATAGATGACAACATCAAGAGAGCCATAAATGATAGAAATAATACTCAGAAAGCTCTCAAGATAAACAGATCTGACACCACCCTTCAGGCTGAATATAAACACAAGAAAAGGAATGTGAAAACACTTATTCATAGTGCGAAAACAAATTATTTCAAAAGTAAGATCAATGAATACAGAAACGATTCTGCCGAAACATGGAAACTGGTTAAGACATTAGTGCCAAATAAGAAACAAAATAGACATTTCCAAAAATTCCATAAATGATATAGAACACTTTAACTTCTTTGCAGAAGTCGGTAGGCTCACTTACGAACAGACAACCGCCTCCACACATCTACGCAACATAAATGAAACAAGGCCTAAAACAAACTTTTTCAGACCGCAACCAGTAGGAGTAGAAACAATTATATTAACAGTAAAACACTTAAGAAAAACAAATTCCGTAGGAGCTGATGGCATTGCACAGCGTTTCATAAATGATAGTCTACCAGCAATTGCATACTATCTGACAGTCATCATTAATACATCCATAGTCACCGGTGTCTATCCATCACTTTGGAAACATGGTATCATCACACCTATTTACAAATCCGGTGATACAGACGAAATAAATAATTATCGACCCATCACAATACTGCCGGTAATATCTAAAGTAGAGAAAATAGTCGCGAACCAATTAACAGCATTTTTGGAAGAGAATAATAACCTTATATCAAACACGCAACACGGGTTTACAAGTAAATTATCAACCGAAACAGCGTTACTAAAAATCACAAACGAAATTTCTAACAACATAGACAACAACCAGATAAATCTGCTCACTTTGTGTGACTTATCTAAGGCCTTTGACAGTGTCAGCCACGAAATACTTCTCAACAAACTAACAAATCACGGAATTGATAATTTTTGGTTTAAAGATTACTTGTCCGCGAGAACTCAATCAGTCAAATTCATGAAAAAGTATCATCAAAGAAACAAGTTTCGTTCGGTGTTCCACAAGGCTCCATCCTAGGCCCAATCTTATTCACTATTTTCATCAATGATCTATCATCAACTGTCTTATTCAGTACTGATGACTCTCAATTTCTTCCACGCCTCTGTTAACAATTTAAATGAGTTAATAGGAAAAGCTAAACAAACCCTAACAGAAGCAAAACAATACTTTGAAATAAATGGTCTGAAGCTAAATCCACAGAAAACACAATGTATTTTCATAGGCAGCCGTCAGAACATTGCAAAAATACCCACAGATACAATTATAGAATTCCAGGGCTGCTACATCAAACCCAGCACAACTGTAAAAAAAACTAGGAGTTTACACAGACAGATACATGACATTTGAGACACACATTGACCACATCTACAGGAAAGTAATGGGCACTCTGATATACTTAAATCACATCAAAAATAAAATACCCACAGAAACAAGAATTATTGTTATACAAACACTAGCACTTAGTATAATCAATTACTGCCTAAACATCTGGGGCTCCACAAATAAAACACAAATACAAAGAACACAGAAACTACAGAACTTTGCAGCAAGAGTAGCACTAGGAAATATAAATAAATATGACCACATATCAACACACTAAAATGGCTAAAAGTGCAACAGAAATACAACTATGACACATGCATTCTAATCCATAAAATTATACAGGGAATTTACCCAAATTGGCTATTAACTATACGGACAACAGGTAACACAACGGGTGTCCAAACAAGGCAAAACAACTGCTTATATATCAAGAGAT